TAAAAAATTGGAGCAACTTTAACAGCTGTATGTGTGGTGTGGCATACAGGAAATATAATCACTAAACATTGGCGTGAGTGCAAGTTAATGTGTTATGCTGTTGTTATTGAAAGCTATTTTCTTCTTAATAGCTTTATTAAAGATAATCTCTGTCGGTGCCGCATTGGAAACGGAGAATTAAATTGTGAGCTTCTTGATTAGCTATTCCGTAGCTTTTGAAATTGATATATTGATTCAATATTGGCAATAGACGCAGAAGCAAAGTTCAATTAATCCCCGGAATCTTTCGAAAATTGCCTTGTCAGTCATTCATTCAACAAAAGTCGCAAGTTTTTATGCTGAATAAGTACCCAAACCATTTATTCTTCAAAAAATGCTTACAATTGACATTTCTTTTGTGTGTCACAGGACAGGACAAATTCCACGTACTTATTGTGATAGAAATCAAGCAACATGGAAACAAGAAATAAGGAATATCATTCAAAAATGTCTTAATCTAAAAATACAAGAAAGAAACAAAATTAATAAAAAAAAGCATAATAAAAAAATAGAAAATTGCTTCTTGCTTCTTCCATTGACTTTGCTGGAAAAGCATCATTATACTGTAATTTCCCTGTGTACATAAATTCTATGTTTCCCTCAGCAAATTTGTGTGATGATGTATACTTTGTGTGGCAATGATTGAAAATACAACAACAAAAAAGCGTCGTATATTTTTAGTGCACGAGAACTCATGTTGTTTATGGTTTCACCTCCTCTCATCACTGTCTCGTTTTCTTTTTTGAATGAATTCAGTTAATTTTAAATTATACAGCTGATGATGATCCTTTATCATTTTCAAGTTTATTTGTACAAAATTAAAAAGTATGAGAAACTTTTTCTTTTTCTTCTATTCATTCAGTTCTTTACTTTGTTCATGCATGTTATTAGTCATGTAGGACATATGAGCCTTTGTCTGCTTTTTAATCGCAATTGTGCTTGCCTTTGTCTGCATTTTGTACTGTATGTAGTCAAATTGAGTGAGCTGGAGTTTATTGGTAGCATACGTGATGGTTTAGTCCCTAATTACTGCTACACTAATCATGGGTTCGAGACTAAGCCTTGCCTTTACGCTTTTCCGAATCATATGTCCTCCAAACGAAGCTCATAGTTTCCCTTTATAAGCTACTATAGAGATAGGTTTAAGTCTGACGTCTTGACTAACCTAAAATCGTTTAATTTTCATTAGCCATGATTCTCACAAGCTCATCTCTGGATCAGAATTGCCAAACAAATTTATAGTTTGTTCCTTTACTGGATGCGCTATCGTCAACCAACAGTATCATCATCAGTATTGTTTTTGTCATGCACAAGTATATGCTTTTAGCCTTTTCTTTATGTTCCAAACAATAATGACAATACTAGACGAATAGAAAATGTAAATGTCCTCAAGATCGACATTTCTGATATTTTTCAATTAATACAGCACTTTCTCCGTCTTCTAATCATCATTAGATTTATCAAAACTAAACGTGGGTGGATACAATTTCGACAATGACAAAGTCCTTTTCTACATGAGCTAGCTTTTTATATGGCTTCAAATCGATTCGTATTGTGTTTGTGTCTTTATGCTTTATCTTTCATCATAATCAAATAAATCATGCAAAATTCCTGAGCATTTAAAGAAGACATTTACAAAGCATTTCAATTATTCAAATTTTTGCTCGTCTGGATTGTTTAAACATTGCCGATCCAAAAAATCTCCCCAAACGAGTCTTCAATATGAGATTACGAAAATATTTCAAGTGCTTTTCTAATGTTCCGTATTTTTTTCCTCAACAGATTATTGATTGAATATATTTTTTTTCTTCTGGGGATTGTTCATTAATGATGTTTGACCTTTAGGGGGGTCTCACGCTGTGTAACGCTACGCTTCATACTTAAGAATGCATGAAGATGAGGGATTCTTTAGAAAATACAAGATTGACGATGATTGTAAGTTGTGAACCGACCCCATATATATCTTCTCAAGTAATTTTAGATCGGACGACATGTCGCGAAAGAATTACAGCGATGAGTCTATATTTCTCTCGAGAGCAACTTCATAAATGATTCTGGACATCCTTGTAATGGCGACATAAATGCACATATTTAAGGACAAAGTCAATTTTATAGTTTCGAGACATGGTGACAATTTTAGTCATAGATTCTGGCTATAGATATTTTTATTGAGTTATATCCTGTACTTTTTACCATGTGTAGTTCGATAAATTGTATGTAATTCGTCAATAATGGGTTTTTAGTTCCACATTTGTGCTCATACATTGAGTGAAAAATTCAATAAAAGGATGTGCAGATGTGAACGCTGGCTTTGGTTACTGCTAAATCATTCAAGTCAACTGATGAGTAAATTTTAATCAATCAGACGAGAAATACCAAGAAGAGATTTTTGTATATAAACTGTCATGTAACTCAACCACATGAAAATTAAGTGTGATGAATCACGAAGAAGCACATGTACACTGTCGAAAAACTCATAACCGTTGCTCATGCTCAAGTCATGTAGATTACATTTTACAGACTCTCAGATGAGGAAAAATTGTCTGGACATTATTAGCTCCTTATGCAATCTCTCTCATCACAAGATGACTCAAAAAAGTACCAAAAAAAAATTACTTCTACATGAGAAACACACGTGACATTTAAAAAGATAGACATAACATAATCTACTAATTTTGCGAATATCTCAAGAACTGATTAGTCGTACTTGACTCGCTCATAGACAAATAACAAAATAGTTCTCGCACATAATTTAATCATTATCACGACAATCAATACCAGCCTTAATCTCAAGTAAACTTTTATTTTTTTTTGCGTATTAATTTTACTCTCCGGCTATAAGAGATCGTAATCACACAAGCTCATCATTAAAATGTTTGTTACGCACATAAGAAACAAAAGAGCGTTGCCAAAGTCTTTTCTTTCCGCAAACTCAAAAAATAGAATAGAATTGTGACTGACCTATAATCGTCGTCAGAGACGTGCTTAAGAATAGTAAATGATAAAAAAAATATATAAAAGTTCTCAATTTTTTCGCAAAAAGGAACTATGAAAATGTGAAAGTACAAAAATAGAAATGAAATAAATGTATTTTTGGGGTTGTTATAGGTCACCATACGAGTTAAAATGGAATATATAGACATAGCTATACTGTAATGGAATGGAAATAATTATAAAAGTTGCAATGTAGGTGAAATAACAATTTTTTGTTATTTTTTGGTAGCAACTGAAGCACAATTAATTAAAATCGCTTACACATATTCGCTATGTGTCGAATTTGAACGTAGTTATTGGATTTACGACGAAAATTGACATATTTAATCAAATTCAGAAGTTAATGACTTCTCATATATCTTGATAATATTATTTTAATGACATTTACATAACTACATAATTGATAGTAGCGCCTTCGTGACACATATTCACATATGATGATACAGCTCATAGAAGAAACAAAAATAAAAACCTCTTTCGATTTATGAACTTTGCTGATGACCGACATTTAAAAGCCATAATATAAAAATTTCTTTGTTACGGTTTTTTTTAAAGAAAGTCTAAGCAGCAGTATCAGGCAGGTAAAAGAAAGAAAAAAAAATTGGAGAGCGAAAAAAATAAAATAAAAATCATAATTTATGTTGCATTGCTAAGCAAGCAGCAGTCAGCACAAAAGCAAAAAGGGGAATGAAAAACTAAAGTGATGAAGAGAGAGAAGAAAAAAATCTAAGACGAAATAAGGCAGCGGCCGAACCTATACATTGCTATACATTCGAAATGGAAAAATTTAATTATCCTGCAATAGATTGACTGACTGTATGACATAGAATTGTTTTAATAAAATTAGTGTACACGCATGTTGGTAACGGCTAGCAAAAAAACTATGTTCAATGCACAGACGAGTCGAGAAAAGCAGGTTTTTTCATACTTTACGGCCGCCATTTTCACAGAGTTATATTGCTCGTTCCGTTTTTTTTTTTCTTTCTTGCTTGCTTGCTTCCAACAATCATCAATTTTTTTTTTTTCTTTCTATGTGGTACTTCTTCAAATGCGATCAATTTTTTTTTTATTTTAAAAATTTCACATACAAACTGATGATTAGATTCAATTACTTACTTGTTACTTTCATTCCTAAAACTGCTGGTTGCTGATTCTGTTGTTTATTCTGTTCAGCAAATGATGTCGTTCGAGGTCTACCACTCATTTTTAGGTACTTGTACAAATTAAAAATGCCCTTACTTCACTACACTGTTCACTCAATCACGTTTGTCAAGAAATTATGTGATAACTTTTAAATAACAAAGGGATTTTCCTTTCTCACTTTTGGATTTTCTTTTCGATGGAAATTTCAATTTTTTCACTCCTCTTTTCTTTTTTTCACACTGATTTTTTTCTTTTTTTTTTTGAATCGCACAATCTTTTTTCTTTCACTTGAAATTCTGTCTTTTACTGTCAAATATCGGATATCTTCTTGTGACTTGTTCACATATCTTAAATTAAAATTCACTTCACATATTTTTAAATTAAAAACTTATTAGTCTCGTTCAATTTTCTTATTTTAATTAATTTACGAATTTCGCTTTGAATTTTTATAGGGTTTTACATTTCTTGTATGTATTAGTGCGTCACTATTCGTCACTGACTATGAATTTGACTAGTCTTTTCTTATCGTGTATCTTTGACGATTTGTTTAATTTGCAAACTTTAATATTAATTGTTGTACTTGATTGCTATGATAATAATATTATGTCTAGATTTGTCTAATATTAGATATTCATCTTCGAATTGATTTTTTTCTTGGATGTGTCTGAAAATTCTAAATTGAGTGCGTTCAGTAAAGCATTTTTCATGAGTTTGTTCAAAGAATTCATTTTCAAATTCTTAACGGTTATTTTCATGCTGAAGATGAAACTGGATTAAATGCACTGTAATTAAATGATAAGCTACTTCCTCATACAATTTGGCAATTAAAATTATCAAAGTCGTTTGTTTATTATTCGATTCGTTTAATACATTTATAAATTCTTTAATTATCTAAGTTTGTTCTATTCTGGATGTTTGATTGACTATCTTATTGGCATGTGGGGGATATTCATTGGAATAAGAATTTTGTTTTAAGACATGAGATTCCTATTTAGATGACAAATTAATTTTTTGCTAGATTCATGACACATTTCTGAGAATTAATAGAGTTCAATTAATTGCTGAATAAACCAAATAGATGAAAACGTGACTCAAAGAATTCTTGAAATTCGATTCTATTGTAGATTTATATCAAAAATATTATTTTTTCTCTGGATTATGGATTACATCCAATGAATTATCAAAGAATGTACTTATCACTTCCAAATAATTCATTAATATTGCATAAAATTGTATGCAGCACTGGATCTCATATCCATTTTTGGTAAATAATAAGCTATTCAGGTCATAGTAATTAGAAATTGAGGAAGTAATGTGTAGCACCAAGAGATCAAAAGTATAACTTTCTTTAAAAATTACGAAATTAAGTGAGTTAATTGGTGTATAATTAAGCGTTTTACTCTCCATTTCTGGTCTCTTGCTGCTCATCTTCAATCTGTATTCGAGCTTGATACTGTTTTATCTCATTTTGGAATGATTCTTTGGCTTGTTCTACTCGCTTCCGTTCGTTTTCAATCTCCTTCCGTCTGTTGTATTCTTGGAATAATGACCGTAGCAGCTCAATGACTGAATAAAGAGATATGAGCTGTAGAAGTAGCAGAATTATGAAAAATGTACTCGGAAATAGCTTTATAAATCCATAAATCAATACAACAGTGAAAATCACGTCGGCAACTACAAAGATTGAAACTTTAAGTCGATCATGCTGAAAATAAAAGTGAAATTAAGTATCCAAAAAATTTGTCAGTTAACCAAAAGCAAAACTTACATTAATCGTTCCAATGATTAACACAAATGAGCATGCAGCATAAGCGATGAGAAAGATCATAAATAACGCAAGAAGCATATAAAACTCTGAAAGTGTAAATTACCAATATTAAGTATGTAGATGTACAGCAACAACAATTTATGGATCTTACTTGTATTTGAGGAAGAGTTTATGTTCTTTTTAATGGTTTCCGCTATTGATGAGAAAAATATTAAGACAAGCACTAAAAAAAACGTAATGACTATGCTGCTGATAAACTTCAACCATCCAATACATTTTGCGCACTCAGTGGATCGAAGTATTGCCAATATACGCGATAGCATTATCAATTTTACTATTTTTTGGTAGATTGCTTCTTAACACATTAAAACTTGAAATAAAACTGAGCGAAAAGCAAATAATTGAGAGTCAGGCAGTCATTCGACGAAGGGGAGAAATATGACGAAACATAAGTTAAAGTTATCTTTGTTTATACTAATATTTCCGAAACAATGCATGCTTATAGATCCATTTGTGTGCAGTCGTGTAAAGTTTCTCACTTTGCTACTCGCTCGTTTAAAAATGTTATTTAAATTGATATCGCAGAGCGGTCGGAAGTGTCTCTCAGCATCGATTCTATCTCTTCTCATTTACCATTTCATTCTTAATTAAATTAATTGAACGATTAATTTTCTCTCGTCTTATATAATTTGTCAGCACCAAGTGATGAAGCAATTCTGGTGGATGATAATCTAAATCATTACTGCTCAAACTTTTCAAGCTATGGAGCATTTCATGACACAGGAGATGCAACATTGACAAATTTAAGGTTGTCGTGGAACATTGCTTGAGAACCACTGATTAATCTAGCTGGAAAGAATGTCGGTCATTGTAAAGAATAAACAATGGGTTCAGGTTTCTTTAAATAAATTTTTCATTTATTTTATTTATTATTAAATTAATTGTTGCCGATTAGTAAAATTTTTAAGCAAAATATAATTTCTTTACAAGTAGTTTTTGATTTTTTTTTTGTTTTTTAATCCATTTAAAAAGCTTGACACGACTCTCAAAGAAATTATAATTTTTTCACTTTTTATTTTTTTTTTTGAGGATTCAGGTGGATTTTTATGAAAAAAGCCCTCTTTTGGGAATTATTTGAATTCTTCTTAAGCCTTTTGGCATTGTAAGGATTTTGGAGTTTAAATTTATTGGTTCTGAATTAAAAATTATTGATTTTGAATGGCTCTTTAATTAAGAAAAATTGCTGTTGAAAGGTTTTTCATACTTAAACGAATGTTTGAAAGCTTTTGAAATGTTTTGATTGAACCTTGCAAATAACACTACAAAATCTATTGTACGGGTATTTGGAATTGAAAATGGTCTTAAAATTTATTAAAAAGGACCTTAATAAAGATAAGAAGAATCTATTGAACGGTTTCAATTAAAACCAACGTTAGAAAAACACAAACTGTCAATTTCAGTTAAAATTCTAATTGAAAATTGATTAAAGTTTCGAATTTGAAATTAATTTGATTCTGAAAATGAGTTTTGAGTCTCATGTTCATCCTGTTTAAAACTGTATAACTTCAGAACCTTTCAAATGTTATCATGAAACTTTCAGGTTTCAAGGTTTCAAAACTCAAATTAGTCGACTTAAAATGAAATTGAACAACTTTAATCAATCTTAAACTATCAAATAATTTTAAATCTTCACAAAAATCCAATCCAAATCTTCTCTTTTATGGCAATTTAACATCAATTTTTATTATTTAAAACAAAGAAAAAGAAAATCTTACATCTAATCTGTGTATAAATTTCTTAATTTTTTTCTCATCCTTAATAGAATTTGTTATCATTTATTGAATATAAATATATATTTTTATTTACGAGGATTAAAATATTGCAAGCCGAATAAATTAATTTTAGAAAAGAATAGAATTTTTAAAGTTTTTTTTTTTTTCAAAAGAGACTCAGAATAAACAGCATTTGTCATCTTCTTGCTTAGGATAAGAAGATGCACTATTGTTGGAAAACGACATAATCACGCAGATTGAGAAGCTTTTAGATCAAAAAAAGCTCTCGTAATTATTATTACAGTTATAGAAAGGGAAATGTAGGCATAATTTCTAAATTTTTCTTATTTCTCTTTTCATCACATTTTTTTCATATTATTATTCATCATCGTTAATGTTTTGCAACAAAAAAGAAGGTTTTATTATTAAATATATCCATTTAAAATCTAAAAAAAAATAACTAATTCATCATTTTTGAAATGACGAGATTTCCATAAATCATGAAAAAGTCGTCGTCAGAATGAAAAAAAAAAGTTCTATTGTCAAGGACAGCTAGGAAGCCAAAATATATTCAAATCAATAGATATATATGTGTGTGTGTAGGTTTGTAGGTGGTACATTCATTTGTGCTGAGCTATTTAGTGGCAAAAATGAAAAATCTATGAAAATATTGAATTTCCTTCTTTTTACAAATTTGAGATCAATTTTAAAACAAAAATCAACGCATTAAATTTATATTATTATAACAATATATTATTTTTTACTTTTTTATGGTACGACTTTTGGTACAGTAGAGAATATTTTAAAGGAAAAAGGGATTTGCTTAACTCGGTCTTTTCTTTTAAGATTATTATTATAATTATTGAATATCAAAAATTTTCCTTATCCAGAGCTTTTTTTGTATTTGTAAGTGAGAACTAAAGATGGACCCTTATTATTGCATAATCCAGCCAAAAAATATGTATATCATTACATTATCTGGATAATGCTATTTTTAACTGATCGAAAAAAAAGTATTAATTAATGTCATGATTGACATTACACACTTAAAAAGTAAAATAAAATATAATAGAAATGAAAAGAAGTACTAAAGTATTCATGTTACATCAAACACAATAAACTAATAGAAAATAAAGAGAAAAAAAAATATAAAGTGACATAATCCACGAATATAACTCATAAAAAAATTAAAAGGTGTGAAATTATCTTGGTTTCTTCATGTAGGCTTAAAACGGTAATGGATCTAGTTATTTTCATCTCATCATCATTAAACATTTTTATCCGTAATCCATAATTTTCTACTTGAATGAATTTCTAATTCTCTTACTTCATTACAACTTAATGCTTCTTAATTCGATGCTAAGAACATGACTAATCTATAAAAGAGAAAATGAAATGAAGGTATGAGTGTGATGAATTAATAATTTGAGGAAATTATAATGATTGTAATATTTAAATTGATTGGAAATGTAACTGTTGAGCATCATTAGCATTTAAATCAATGATTCTTGTTTTGATGAAGCTTTTAAAGCTGTCATGAGGTTTTTCATGGCTGTTGCATGTTTTCAATTAAAATTTGATTTTTCTTGACTGTTGTGCGGTTCTGAATAAGAACTTTTTGTGTTAAAAACCTTTCAATTGCACTATAAAAACGAATAAATCGTTGAAGTTCAAAATCTGTTGTATGGTTTTAAATTCGGACTTAGCTAAAATCGATTCAGAAAACTCATTGAAATTTCAGTATAAATTGGTATAAATATCAAAAGAAAACCTTTGCAAAATCGATTTTTCAGGCCAATCTGACACAAATATCTCAAAAAATAACAATTTCACTTTTTATTTCTTTGAAATACTTTGTTTATGTAAAATATTCGTAGCAATGCATTCGTTTAAACAAAAAAATATTAAAATAACACATTGCAGCACGTTGACAATGCTCATATCTCGAATAAACAGTTTAATCAACAACAAAGAATACAAAACGTGCACAAAATTACACATTACTTGCAGAACTTCCTAACATACAATTTTCCAATCAATTTAAACAACTCGATCAATATTGAACCCATCAATTTTTACCTTAAATTAATAGTCTTTGCAGCCAGCAACCGATTACATTCAGCTGTATCTGGTAATGGTAATAAATTGAAAATACTCTCATTTTCAGTATCAGTAAAGTCATGCTTGTAAATCTTTGCATTGACTTTCATGTCGGAAAACGGACCGGGCAGCACAAAGAAGTGAATCGACAGTGGATGTTGTGTTTTGGTCTTCAATGCAACCTACAAACAAGAAAATTAGAGTTAATTAAAGAAAATTCCAGACACTATGATTAATTAACACATTCGACATTACTTGGTAAGTAATAAATCGATCGTTCGACTGATGAACATCACGTTGTGAGTTATTAACTATTGCTTTGACGATCCATTGATGATTGAACGCGGAGAAGCGTGTTGTCTCATAGAATAGCTTGTGAATGAACTCATCCGTTCGATATGATTGAAGACGAAGATCTGTCATGGAAAAAGACTTTTTCAGATATTGTCTTAAGAAATTTCTTAAATTTTCATCGATATGTGATTTAGTTTTGTCAGTCGTGACTGTGGTCGTGGTCATCAATCGAGTTGGGCGGGTGGGAGTGTTTGAATTGGATGTTGAAGATTTTTGCTTCTTTCTCTTCTTTTTAATCGTATTTCTTATCCCTTTTGTTATATTACGACATCGTACAACAGCATTATTACCTTCATTATTGCATTTTTGGATAGACCAACACACATGTTTCATGGAATAACACATGAAGATGTGGAACATATCAGTTGATTTGACATTTTTTTTCATTTAATTTTGTTTTTTTATTTGCCATAAATTTTTTTTTTCTTCATCCAGCACCGACTCAATGGAATTGCCACCATCATCTGGATTACTTCTACAGATGTTGATGGCAATTTCTGAGTCGCTCATACTTAAATCTAATCTGCCCACATCTTTCTTTTCATACCAAAATTGAATTTAGATCAAATTAAACTAAAGTGCAAAATTTAGAGAAACTAGCTCAGTGTCTTTTAAGCTTAGTCAGCAGATATAACGCTAGACATTACATATTCATGACACTCACCATTGAATGTAATTTTCTCGTAGCTTAAGAGATCGACAAGACAACTAAACAGTTTCTTTTCCTCTTCATGATGTGCCTCGCGATCCAGCAATGCTCCCATAACGTCAGCTCCAGATTCTAAAAGATAAAGTTGGGATATTTATTAGTTTTGTTAACTGGATCGACAATAAAACGTCTACAGTGACTTATGAAAAACTTGATAGTGTCATGATGATTGATTGACGGCAACTCAATGATAAAGGTCATCTTAAACTTACTTTTTGGATGAGCACATTGTGCTTCATGCTCCTTAGCTCCATGCATAGGTCCATTCCATTGGCAGCCAATTAAAGAGTATTTGCATTCTGTAGGACGTTCGTCGCACTCGTTACGTTCATGATGGTCTAATGTTGAACGAGGAAATTCCTGATTGCAGAACTATTGAATTTATTTTTGAGAAAGGGGAGAGACAGATTAAGGAACAAAGAAAAAGAAGAAAAGAAATATAAAATGAAACAAAATGTGATTAATCATCGTAAAAATTCAATTCAAGCTACACACAATGATGATATTTGGTTAATTATCCGATGTGAAGGTTAAACCATAAATAAAAGTCATTATTGCTATCCAAGTATCGGTTGTTAAACCTTTGACTCACCTGACATTCGCTCGGCAATTCACTAACAGCTTTCTCGACTGCCAAATTTCTCGTTGCATTATTTTTCGAGATTTCGACACGACAATTTGGACATGTTGCAACTTGATCACGCAAACGGCTATCGGCAAGCAAATGTGTAAAGCATCCAGCGCACATTAAGTGTCCCATAATGCACTACATACAATAACACAGTTGAGATGAATAGAAGGAGAAGAAGAACAGAAATATTGAAGGATATTTATTTGATAAAGTCAGTTAATAAATTATGTAAATAGGTTTTATGTGGATTAATGTCATCGTGTGACTTTTGTGCATTTTTGGACGGTACTGATCAGTAATTTGGGTGTTTTGAAGGATGTTGATGTTGAATGGGTTTGAAGATTTTGTTGGAATCTGTTGTGGCTAGTATACATTAAGAGAACTGGCGTTTGATTGGGTTTCTAGGGGCATGATTTAGGAATATATTTCTAGATCCACTAGAAATAGTCAAAAACATAATTCAATATTCTTAATCCAATCAGCATTAACAGAACCAATTTAAATCTAAAAATCCAGCATAGTTCAACATTAACCACCATAAAAATCATTTAGTTCCCACAGACAGCAATCTACTCCCAAAATATACAACATATTCTTTATTGACAACCAACACAATTCAAGAGTAGACTGCAAAATCCTTCAGAACCAGCACTAAGTGAACAATCAAGCATACAATATCCCCAGAAATGCACATAAAAATCAGTTATTAGGTTTGTCAAGTAAATAATGTCTCAAAAAATCATTAATATAAATATGAAATAGAATGTAACACATATTAAGTTAGTTTTATAGCTGCTCATTGACACGACAGTTAAAAATTAATGTTACCTACAAAAAAATTACCCTATAAAAGAATAATAAAAGAACAGAATAGAAATGCAATTAAATTTTCAATAAACTATTTTTGTGCTTGCTATTTGCAGCGTAGCTTTATAATATTTTGATGAGTCTATTGATTATTAAAAATATGTCCTGAAATATAAAATAAAAGTCAAGCGAAATTTTCCAACGTAAGCGACAGAGGAGAATCAACGTGGCTATGGAAGGGAGCTAATTCTTTGAGATAAGGTTTAGATTATCAATTTCAAAAAGATTAGGGTCACCTTTTGGCTAGCTCTTCCCATATTGCTACATAGTTTACTTATTAAGCCCAGCAATGAAGTCAGGAAATGACGAAAAAATCCAAAAATTTGAGGATCTGTTATGAATTAAAAAATTTTCTTTTGTATTTTTTTTTCTTTTTTTTCATTTACAATTTTTACAATTTTCTTTCTTTTTTGGACATTTTCCAATTTTCTTTTTTTTTTAAATAATTTTTCATTTTTTCTTGACGTGCTTTAAGGAAGGAAATGAACAATCTTTTTCATACATTATTTTATCAATGAATTACGTCATGTGGCATTGTACAACCTTTTATAATTTCCAATTGAGCAAAATTTTTAAGCCATTGACGTCCTTCTTCTTTCCTTGAAAGCACATGTTCAGTCACTATCTAATCTAATAGCTTTGATTCTTGTTTTATTTCATTTTTTTTTAATTTTTTTTGTGACTGTTTACTTTTTTTTATAGCATCGAAAATGAAAGAATTTCTTTATTTTATTTTTACTCATTTCGACCTTAGTTCCTTATGTAAATATTTGACATGTGGAAAATTAAAATTAAAAATTTATTCGTTATTTTATTTATACAATCAGTGATAACGAAATAAAAATAAAAATTCGATCGAAATCTTTGCTGACGTTTGCAAAATTATTATGAAAATTAAACGTAGAAAGTCTATACAATCTATAAATTCAGAGTCAGACATACAGACTAGCTATGTTTGGGAATTACGACTTATTTAATAGGATAGATTGCTATTTTAAAACTTGATGTGAAAAAGATGTTCATCACAAAATGAGATTGTCAGGCTCTTTTAAAAGTCATTTATTTTAATTTAAAAATCTTTAAAATATGTTTATATGTGACTTAGTTTTGGAACAGATCAGGAGGGTATAATCTATGACTAAATCTAATCAACAAAGATCTTACTAAGCCCAGATCGAGATCTTTGTTGATTAGTTTGAAATGAATTGACTTTTGACAAACTTTTAATCATATTTGATCAATTACGCATCCCTAATATGCCACTATCCGTAGATTTAGTTTCTTTCTTTCTTAATTAACTTTATTATGATCCATCAGCATATTGCTATTAAAAACCTTTTAGATTTTGTTTTCAAGCTTCTCCTGAACTTGTAAAATGCTAACACTTCACCCAAGTACTTTTACTAGCTATCATGTTATGATCGAAGCGTATCATTTTAAAAGAACTGACAAATTTGTGTCAGGAAAATAATTATCTTATCTCATTAAAGAATTCTTCTTTCTTAATCTTCAAAGTGTCGATTTTGTGAAATTAATTTTGAATTGAGAAAATGGATATCTTTACTTTAATTAAGTTATCTTAACATGGGATCTGAATTCAAAATCTTTTTTTGGAATATCAAATCACGAATAGGATCTCTGATGTTACCCAGGGACTAAAATGTATGAAAAAAATCTTTGATGAAAAAAAATCACTCATTTCAATGAGTAAAAAAATCATGATTTTTTCCATCCTGCGAACATTATTACGTAGAAAAAAATCATGTAAGAAAAATTTTTACGTAGAACTTCATCACGTAATGATAAAAATTACGAAAAAAAATTTCATCAACACAAATTTCATTCAAAAATAAATATTTCAAATTTTTCATAAAATTTTCAACTAAATGTGAAGTGCTTATTGCTGCTAATAGTTTATTCAGGTATTGCAACGATCAGGTATGGATATAATAACCAATAAAGGAAGTAATGACATAAATTGGACTCAAATTTCAAATTTCAATAATCTTAGGAGAACATTAAGGTAAGAATCGGTGAACCAATGCCTTACTATATTTTAATTAAGTTAAAATCTATTTTAGCGAGTATCTGGTTGTTTAAATGACAGATTAAAATATCCTTAATCATGGAAAGAGCTAAATTAAATCGCAAGTGACTTAATAGTGATGAAGTTCTGAAATGAGTGATTTTTTTTCATCAAAGATTTTTTTCATACATTTTAGTCCCTGATCTTAACTAATTTAAAAATTTATGGAAAATAACTCAAAAGATAATTGGAACTGATGTCATCTGATTTAAAAGCACTACTCACAAATCTTATTGTTAAACACAACACTTTGAACTTTATATAATTTCAAAAGCATTAAAGTAAATCAAATCTTAAAGATAAAATTCAAAGAATCAGAAAATATTACATCAAATCTTAAAACCAGCTATTCCTCATATCTTAAGTCAATCTTAAAATGTTGGAGATACAGAAAGAAGTAAACAAAAAAAGAAAAACATTGCCTCAGCTGATAAAGTTTGTAAATGCTATTATCTTCTTATTTACTATGTAAATCTCATCTGGTTAAATATTAAAATCCGGTTATGGGTCGTTCACTTATGACGTCTAATATTTATTATGAATTTTTTTGACTCTTAGAACTGTGTGATTTTTCGATTAGACGTCATATGTGAATGAACCCATAAGAAATTTACTTCGTAAACATTTTTCTGGTTACAGAACTGAGGTTTTGACATCAGAATGTATAATTCAGTAGATTCAAATGTTGAGGGATGCTTCCAATGAATTTAAGATTGTTCAATTTCATTACATTTCCAACTTTATTTGGTTCCAAATTTAAAAGAATCACATGAATAGAATTTCATGAAAAATAAACAAATTGCATCATCAATTCGACTGACTCAAACCTCATAGTATCAAAATTACAGACCTGAAGTCTCATAAAATCTTTAGCAACACTCTAATCACACCATAAAAATCTCTACATAGTATGTTAAGAAGCCTTAAGCCAACCATAAAAGAATTTAAAGGTCAGCAATAAAAAAAAAAAAATCCACGATTTTCATAAAAAAAAATCTCCAACATTTCCAACTTATTGATCAAGCTCATAATAGCAACTTCTATCCCTGAGAAGGTGACGTTGAAAAACAAAAGAAAATACGAAAAAGTCAAGTACATGCTACACAGTTGCCAGTTTTTTGTTTTTATAGTAATAAAAAAAACTTCACTTAACTCGATATACACAAGTCATTCACATATATTCATATCCAACCATATGTTTATATTGAGGGCACATTGGGCATCATATCATGCACAAAAGCGAGATGCTTCAATCATAACATCAATGAAAATAAATACATTTAAACGTGTATGGTAAAAAGAAAGGAAAACAGAAGAAACAACTGCATATCAAAAGAGAACTGCATTTTCTACTAAATATATGCATTGTGGAAGGCACAACGTACCGTTAATTGATTCATCGTTAAACACGTTTTCATGCTCGCTTTCATGTTTGGAATTGAATATAGATTGACTATCACAATTGAATGTAATCAACAAAGAAATATGTAAAAATATTTTTGTATTTAGGGGGCATTATTAAGTGACGTTTATCTTAAAGATTTTGTTATGGTTTAGCTTTAGTTAATAATCTAGTGGTCCTTATGACGATTTTATGACATTATTGTAACATAAACAACAAATCTCGATTTCTAATCGACATCACTAGCTATTGTTCCATTTAAGGTTCCCTCGTGGCTCGTATTTCACTTATCTACCTTAAAGCACTTAGTTATATGCAACAACAACATCACAGGTACACTCACTCAAAATGTACTCGTATGCATGGATTATAAGGAACATAAATAAATGCCAAATGCCTTCTCTATTGCTCTATCTTTCATGCCTTTCACAATCGTCAACGAGGCAGTGGATATTATTTTGCGCAACAATTAGAAATAAATTTGACATATAATGGGATGTGTGGATTGAAACGCAAATTATTATTAGGTAGAAAATACTTATACATAGACATTTGGATTGGATTTTCGCTCACATGAAACAGCAATTATTTGAAAGTAGCAAGCAAAAAAATAAACTTTTGTGGGCTTTGAAAGATGTGGTAAGAGATTGGTGATCTTATGCATGTTTGCTTGATGTTGTTGAAGCAGATTTGCGACTATTTTTAGGAATGGGAAATAAATTGTCGTTGAATTGAACTTTTTTTGTTGAGTATTTAATGTCTAATGATGCTAGGTATTGT